CAACAAAATTCATGTAAAACCAGGACTTCAAAACATGACAAAGAGTTTAAGTTAGAAATTATGCTCAGTGGTGACGTCAGCCATGACATCATCATATGACTGATCGTCATCTTCCTCGGTGGGTGGAGGCATCGTCATGGAAACATGTGAGCTCCTTCCTGTTAGGCACAAAGTAAGAAATGATAACAGTGATGAAACAAACTAAATATAAAGAAGTCATTTTTCTTTTGAATAATACATTCTTAATTTGACATCGACTGTAGATGTTAACTTATTCTTGTCTGACGATAGATTTGAGCTTCTATTTGTCTCCATCTTCAATCATTTTGGGCCAACAGAAAGTGGGATGGAAAGGGTTAAGCCAGAAAAACTGGACCGCCAAAGTGTATTAGACTGGGACATGTGAATATCAAGACGTTACTGCAGTGCTGCCTGAGGGCCTGAAGATCATGGCTTTTAAATTTAAGCTTTCATTCATCCCCTTATGTATATTGATTTTGAGTCATTAGCCCATTGGTCCCATTAATCCCATTAATCCAGTCACTGACCCCCTCTGGAATAATGTGTATTCTGTGACCCAATGATGAGTGGTTGCTAGAAGTTGCTGGCAGTCCATAACATGAAACTGGTTGTAAAAAGCTATACATTGAGGACCTCCTTGTATTTGATTTGGTCACTAGCACATTGCAAAAGTTGCCTATAATTTGAAAGGAAGATACTAACTTGTCTGCAAATAAATGCCAAATACTTGCCAAGCTGTAGTAAAAGTGTCACAAAAACCAGATGATGTGTAACTTTTACTTTTAAGGCAAAGTCTGCATCTTCCATGCATCTGGGCGACCGCTGCAATCTACAAGTGTCCAAAGCAATAACAAGAAGGTTTTTGATGCAGCACCTTTATGTGACTGATCTCACCTCACAACCACTCAGCAACTGGTTTGAGAATAAACACACACACACAGACTGGAGGTTACCAAGGGTTGCTTCTGAAACACAAAGCCTCTATGACATCATCTAATATATCGATCATGTCCCTAAATAACCTGATTAGTAGTGAAAATTGAACCACAATGAGATGTCTTAGTCTTTTGCTATCCTTGTTCAAATACAAATAATCTTGATGTGAAAAACAAAATAAATACAGGTGCAGTTATATGCTTATAATGAATTTCTGTTTTTGATGCTGTTCTACACATCGTCCCAGTTTTCTAGGAAACCGGTAGATTAAGAGCCCTGAAAACATGTTTCTGTAGATGTTGGCCAGTTCGTCTGCCAATAACGTGCTTTACTTATCGACTTTTGTTTGAACTGTAATTAAATGTGGCTCAGGCATTTTGATTTCCTCCATCAAAACGGCAACAACTTTGGTTATTCTTTGATTTTTACATAGTAACTCATATTCATGTTCAGTAACCAGTGTTTTTCTATTCTGGTAAAGATTATAGCTCCAACACTACGAGATGGATGGGTGATATTTGAACATAATGATGAGTGTTACCTGCAGACATGCGATATATAGAAACCATGAGGAATGTGGAAATTACATATGGGCAGTACACCAAGATGTAGCGCAGTATTCCCAGAGACGACAGGTTTTTGTGAGGATCTGAGGTGGGGGCATTGGGATCTTCAGGATCTAGAAACAAACAAAGATCTTGCTGGAATAAAGCTCTTTTTATCTTCTCTCTAAACCACAGATGAACAGTGTCTAATACACATCAACGAAAAAAGACCAAAGTCACCAGTCATGTCATTCCTTGGATTTTCAGTCCTTACCTATGATGAACAGCCAGCTGGATGGAGACACTCCCACACTCATGTTACACTTGTAGATGCCTTCATGAGACTTTGTGACGTTATAGATGATCATGTGACTTCTAGGCGCAGTCCCAATAATAGATTCATTTTTATAGAAAGTTGCTGGGATGTCGGATTGACTGTTCTTTGATTCACAGAGCAGAGTAACATTATCTCCCTTCATCACGGGGAGGACGGGACTCTGCAGGATTACTGGAGTATATTCTCGTTCTGAGAGATAAAAAAAAGTTTGAATACACGAGTATATGCCATGTAGCAGAACATGCTATTCAGCTTTATTTATCTAGCACTGAGGCAGATAAAATCAGTGTAAATAAAGAAAGTAAACCTTCTTTAGTTACTAAGGTTTCAAGTATCAGGACATAAAATATTCTGATTCCTTAAAGTTCTTAAAATGAAGTAAATAAAACCTCAGAGGAACTACATGACATATAAAGAATTAAGCCAGAATAGAGAAACAGTGGGTAAGGAAGTATTCTGGGCCGGTGCTACTAGTCAAATGCTGTTGATTATTTGATCATCAGTGTGAGTACTTCTACAAGATGCAGTTCAATTCAGTTTCATTTTCACTGTCATTGTGGATCATCTGAACATCCTGATAATAATAAATTACAACAGTGCAGATTCTGAGTAATAAATGACTGAACTAGTTTTTTGCATGAACGTTTCTTGCAGATATGCTGCACCTTCCCTATACATTTGTTTAATATGTACATGGAAGGACATATCCTGGTCAAAAATGACTCCTCACGGTGTCACTGGAGGTAATCCCACTAAGAGTAAGCATTTTGGTTAGATACAATGTTTCTAACATTTTTAGTGCAGTGACAATAATCTTAGTTTCATCTGAATTAAGAAGCAAGGAATCAAAGCTCATCCAGGTCCTTAAGAAATTCCTGCAGTTTAGCTAATCAGTGTGTGTCATCATGGATAGATAAAGCTGGGTATTATCTGCACCAAAGTGAAATGCAATGTATGGTATGTCTTCTAATGATAGGAAAAATATATTTGGGAAAAATATAATTGATTCCACCACTAAACCCTGTGGAACTTCATAATAAACCTTTGTGTGTGAAGAGATATCAATCTACATGAAAACATAGTTTATTAGATAGATATGGCATGATTCAGACCATTGCAGTGCAGTACCTTAAATTTCTATTGCATGTTCTTCTCTGTGTATTAAAATATTGTGGTCACCTGAGGAAACCTGGGGTTGTTTTCAATGTCTTGATTCAGTGACAAATACTAAGACGTCCAAGTTTACAGAGAACGTTTTATTATAGAGCAGCAAACTCTTCTTTCAGTCTAAATGAAGATCTAGAATAGTGAGCTGCTCTACAGCTTGCAGGTTATCTGCTTTAAGGCACACTTTTGTGAGTTATACCAGGGACTCATGCACTTCTGATTTGAGGCCTGCTTTTTCAATGAAAGCTGTTTAATGCAACACTAACAAGATAATCAGTTTTGTGGGAGTTTAAGTAGCTGTTTTACATTGTGATGGCGTATGTCATTGGAGAAGATAACAGTGGAGAATTTACATCCTTAAACTTAGTTACAGGATTTTAAGAACGACATCTTGTGTGATCAAATGTATCAAAGGCTTATCCAAAGTCCAGGAGTGAACCCGACTGCAATCCTGTGGGATCTTAAGAGAGCTTAAGAGAGCTGTGCACATTATTAAACTGAAACAATGCTGTAAAGAAGAGTTGGCCAACCTATTCTCATGAAGTTGGAAACTATTATTTTGCTGCTAGTAACTGTGATCCTACAAGCAGCAGCATTGTGAGGTGTATTTAGGTTTTCACAGCCTGCTTTTCCAATTAGATTTTGTCCTGATATGGTTCATTAAGTTATGTGTTAATTACTTTTTCTTATTTCCTGGTATGTTAAACCTTAGAAATTAAACACGATGCACTTTGTCTCCACCATTACTTTATCCGCTTTAGAAATGTGCAGCACTAAAGCTTTGTGATTAGTCATGGATTCTGTTAACTAAAAGAAAACAATACTAGCATTAGTGAAATAGAAATGCATGTTTTTTTTTTGTTTAGCTCGACTATTTTTGTTCATAGTTGTTATGCCTTTTGGTCAAAAGTGAGTAGTTAGTGCATAGTCTGATTAAGTTACATAAGCAAAGTGATAAGTTAAAGTTAAAGTTAAGAAATATTATAAGTAATTCATGCTAAAAACAGTTAAAATGTCTGGGTTCGAAATTTGCTCAGAGTGAGACATCGTTATCACAAGCGATCTTTGTGTTGTATGTGCGGGAATGGGAGCGAGGGAGCGCTCTGATCATTAACCTATCTTTGATCTATTTTCTCCGTTAATGCCGTGAAAAGTGCTTCGGCAGTATTAAAAGAGTGAACGAGTTTATGTACACGCTAAAAGTGCCCTACACGCTTGTACCTTGGGAAACATTCGTCTTTGTGAGTATTAATATGTTCAGAAACAACTTTTATATGTGTTTACCTGGAGTTAACTGCGATGTTAATGTAACGCACGTGTTAAGCTAGGCTAATCATTAAGTTTGCTTAATTAAGATGTGTATTAGCTAGCAGTTTATTTTCACTTTCTGTATGTTTCAGTTACAAATAAGAAATAGCAAGGAGAAGCCTTGAGAGAGGATAAGGCTTTAAAGGATCTTCATTAAAAGCAAGAAAAGCAAGCCTTGTGTGGAAGATCTCGTCTATTTTGTTCGCTAGCTGTCTAGCTTCACATGGTCACGTGTCGTGAGGGCAGCATAATAGTAAAGCATCTATCCACTGAGCTCAGCTGTGAAGCTGTACTCCTCCACTGTTTGTGTGTAAAACAAAAAGCGTTCATTTAACCATTTTTGTTATAACAACTTTGACACGTGTTTTACAAGCATGACTATTACGTGTTTAGTTTTCTCTCATTCGTATACATTTTGAGGGCTTCTGTTTCAAGTTAGATTTTTAAACCGCTCCTACCATAAACTGTGATGTTGACTGAGTTGCTCCGCTGGTGTGTAGGAGACTCGCACCAGTAAACAGCACTGTCGAGCCCCTTGATTTTGTGGAGGGTGCAACCATAGGAAGTAGCTTTTCCCCAGACTTCACATCCGGACACTTGTTTATCGAAGGTGCTGAATCTCTTGACTGTCCATCCTTGAATGCCGCAGCTCAGATTCAAGTCCTTATACTCAAACATCTGAGCTGAGTTGGGAGACGGTGTGAGAGTGGGAAGGTCAGAATGATCTGGGGACAGAACAAGACTCAGTGTGTTAAAATATGTTTGGCTGTAGTCAATGTTTTCACATTTCCTGTTGTTTTGAGACGTCTTCTGTTTTGCTTATTCACTTTGTTTCTATGATACACGTGTCAAAACTTTTTTACACTAAAAAAATGCAACAAAATTCAATGAATGTATTTATTATGTTGCTGAGCCCCAATCAGAATTCCATTCATGCAGTGCCTTGCAACTAATATTAATATAATATGTATTTTAAAATCATATATATTTAAACCTTTCAAACCCCAGTTCGACTGGCCACACATTATTACATATAAAGCAACGTGTTGGATGATGTATTGCAGTGCTACGAATCTCACTGAGACTGGTAACACAATTTGTTTTACAATAAGATTTTCTAATTTACACAAATCCTAATAAATACATGATGTCAGGTAACCAAATCCAAGAGTAAAGAAGAGATTTTTAGGATGTTCCTTCAGCATACTCACAGCCATCCTGTTCATACTTGGGCTACGTCCACACCTACACGGGTATTTTTGAAAACGGAGG